ACTCAGAAAGAAAGGGATGGATAGACATAGAAAGATTGCATTCATCTGGAGAACATAAAATGACCATACATTTTTGACAAATACACTTATGCCAGTTAAGAAGTTTAATTTTAGTTCAGGCTAAGAACTTTGTTACTTTTTTTGGTATTATTATTTTTGGGGAGCCATAGCACAGCAGTAGGGTGTTTGCCTTGCGCGCAGCTGGCCCACCGAGCTGGGTTTGATTCCTCCACCCCTCTTGGAGAGCCCGGCAAGCTTCCGAGAGTATCTCGCCCACATGGCAAAGCCTGGCAAGCTACCCATGACGTACTCAATATGCCAAAACACAGAAACAACAAGTCTCACGATGGAGATGTTACTGGGCCCGCTTGAGCAAATCATTGAACAAAAGGAGGACAGTGCATTCTTTTTTTTTTTTTTTTGTATTAAATCTGGAGTTCTGACCTCTGTCGATGATCAAGAATTAGGGACACTGTCTCGGTTGCCAAGGCATCGAAAATCAGATGGGCTGGACATCTAATGCGATTTGAAGACTAGACTAGAGCCGTTACTGACTGGATTCCATGGGACGTCAAAAGATCACATGGCCGACCACCTACAAGTTGGTCAGACTTCTTTGTCAAGACCCTGAAAGGTTTGAGGCTCTTCCTGTTTCAGGAGAGAGGAGATGCCACTGGGCCACACTAGCACACAACAGGGATGAATGGAGACGTTACTGGCGCCCACTCAAGTAAATTGATGATTAATGGGATGTCAAGTGATCAAGTGATTAAGTGTATTATATGGACAATGACTATATTAAATGCTCTTATGTCTGATAAGATAAACATTTTTATTCCCTATTATCTGTCTGGGTTGTTTTGCCAGTTTGTTTATGAACTCATCTATAAATAATATCCTGGATGTTTCCAGTTTGGGTAATTGAAAAGCTTCTATAAACAACAATGAGTGGAATTTTATGTGGACCTAAGTTTTCAATTTCACTGGGCCAAAGCCAAGGAGTCTGATTGCTGAAGCACCAGGTGGGGAGGAGGGTGATCAGTGTGGAAAGCAGCCTCCCTGCCGAACACCCCACGGTAACAAGTCCCCGTCACACATGGCTCAGCACACTGTGGTGCCACTGGGTTCTTATATTCTGGCAGTACTGACTCATTTCCCTCCTATCTCCACACTGACGGGCAGCAGGAGCGCAGTTTTCCTGTTCTGTCTTGTCAGCACTCTCGTGTGAGTTGTCCGTGAGCCTCTTCTCCCTGTGGTTTCTCCCTGCTTGCTGCAGCTGACTGGATCAAGGATGGCTCTGGAGTTATTTTTTCCCAATGTACTGAAATTTTATCAGTTCAATAATTTCGGATCATACTTTTTATAATTATTTCCTTGTACATTTCTTATTTCATTTTTGCTTTTGTAATTTTATTCTTTTAAGATTTAGAAATTGTCTTAAATGTCGTATTTAACATTATGTAATCTTTAACTGACAGTAAATTCCTTTTATATTCAATTCTAAATAATTAACGTTTTCATTATTATTTCCTCTTTAACCCATGAGTGAAATAAGGATGAATTTGAAAATTTCCACACGTGTTTACATGTTTTGTTTTGACTTTTTCTGCTGACTTCTGATTTAATCACACTAGGTCAAAGAACATGGCTTGCATGAAGTGGATTGCTTAAAATTACTGCAACCTTCTGTACACAGGCAACATTTTTAAAAGTTACACTGATTTTAGAAAACAATAAAAAATCTCTGCTAGGTATGAGAGTCTCTTCACTACTGGAAGCTGTTAAGACTATAAATATACCTGGCTTTAAATCTTTATCTACTAGGTTGAAGCATAAAGATTATAGAGATACTAGTTTAGTAAATTATAGTCAAATATTCTGAATACTTAATTACACATTTTTCTAAGATGTTTTGTCAAAGTACACATTTTCCCCAAGTTATTTTACATTTTATTTCTAAGTGGCGATGATTTAACCTCTCAGTGAATCACTCCCATCTTCAAATTATACATAGTCTGGGTATCCTATTATTCTAAGTCAACCTTATCTGAACGATTCATATGGAATAAAGCTCAAGACATTATATTCATTATTTTGCACACTTTCATTTCTTAAAACTTCACCTCATATTCACATTTCTTCTTCCTAAAGTAAAACTTTCAATAATCACCTTAGTGAGAATTTCTGTTAACATATTTTCTCAATTCTTTAAAGTTTTCTTTAGCTTCCCCTGGTAAGTGATATGCTGGTATAAAGTTCTAATGAACAGTTGTTCTGACTTTGGAACACCAGCATTACCAAGCATTCTGGCATTTGCCGAGCTAACGCCAGTTCCCAGTTCAGTGACTGTTACTATGGTAAGAAATCTGTTTTCTCCCTTCAGATTTCCTCTTTGTTGTTTTCTTGACCCAAGCTAAATGCCTTTAAATGTGGATTGACTTTCATTTTTCCTTTCAGTTTTTTGGGCACAGTTTGGGTGCGTGTCTTTCTTCAGTATTGGTCAATTCTCTGTCAGCATCTCCTCCAAACAACCCCCTTTAATTCCATCCATCCTCCTCTCCTCTTGATTATGTAAGTGTGTGTATCTAATGCCTTGTCTGTATTTTTCCACTTCTCTCTATGCTGTGGCCAAGGAGCTCGAGTCATTATACTGAATCTAGCTTTTTTCCCCCCTCAAAATGCCAGTAACAACATCATAGAAATGTCGATATCCACCATTTCTAGGGGACTCTTTCTCACTTCACCTGTTGCTACTACTTCCTATTATTTCTCACCTTCCTCTATGAACATTACTGCTCCATTCATCCCCTTGAGCAACACACACACACACACACACACACACACACACACTCTGGACTCCTAAGTCTTTGAACTGATTTTTTACCAAATATGGACTCAATGGTCCCCTGCTGGTACTGGTAGCTCCACTACCCAGGAGGAGAGTACTTAAAGCAAGTGGGTGCATTGCCTTGAGGGCTTATTTGGGAATGTTGTGCTTTGTTCTTCCTTCCCACCATCCTCCAGTTGCCCCTCAAGTGAGGTGGACAGGCTGCTGTCTCACTGAAATCTGAAAGACTGAGCCAGGGCCAGGTGACCCAGATGGGTGAGTCCCAGCTGTGTCAACTATCCCCAGTGCCTGGCCATGGGTACACAGATACTATTCCCCAGTGTCCTCAGGAGCAAAGGGGCATTACTCCAGCTCCTGGGTAGACCCAGTCAGTAAGACCCTACTCTGAGTTGCCAACCACTGTCGGACTTTTGGTCTACAGCCTTGGGGGGAAAGGAAGCAGCCACTATTTGTTACCTCGGGGCGAAGACTATGTCCGTGGAGTTATAAGTGCTGGAGGGAAGGCAGCTGGCATCATACACATCAAGTACCAATTGGAACAGACTTCGGTGTGAAGACTGTTCACGCATTCCGTCAAGCCCTGTTTATGTGCTGATCTACCTTCGATACCCACTTCAATTTCCTGTCTAACAGAGAACACCTCACTCAATCACTTTTGTCTAATAAATAGCATGCCCCATCTTCTGTACCCCAAATCTCCCCCAGTAACACTACTTGGGTTTCACATCTAGGGAATATCTGAACATACAACATAAAGAAAGAGATGAACTTCCTAAAGGACTTTCATTGCAATTTTTCCCTTCTGATTAAAAGTACTAAAATACAAAAGTATTAACAAATCTTCATATGAACACCAATGCCCCAAACTTAAATTATTTTAGTTTTTAAAGAGGTCATTTATAAGCAGTAATGTATAGGAAGTTTAAGTTTTCTTTTGTTTCTATTGCAGTCACACCTGGAGGTGTTCCGGGCTTACTTCTGGTTTTGTGCTCAGGAATCATTCCTCGCAATGCCATACACGATACCAAGGGTCAAAACTGTCTCAGTCACATGCAAGGTAAGTGCCCTAATTGCTGCACTATCTCTCCAGCCCTAAGTTTAAGTTTCATAAGTTTTAAAGTCAGTTAATAAGAAACCGGTTTTCTTTCCCTTGTCTCATAGTATTGAAAGCTTTTGAATACGGAAACCCCTGGCTCATGAACATTCCACATCTTCAAAGATGACTGCTCTTGGTTAGACTCCCAGGGGTTAGTTTTTGGTTTCTGTCTTTTTGATTTTGGGCCACACCCAGTAATGCTCAAGGCAGTGCTTCCTTCTGGCTCTGCGCCCAGGAATCACTCAGGGGACCATGTGGGATGCCAGGGATTGTACCCAGGTTGGCCACATGCAAGGCCAATCTGGGTACCCACTGTATTATTGTTCCAGCCTCTTCCCAGGTTTTATTTTTATTAAATGTCATTCTCTTAGTCACTAAACCATTTTAAAAGTCTGATTATTCTAACTCCTTTTACTTTTGTTACATAAACTCTCTAGTAACCCAAACATTCAGTCACCCAGTCACCTCTGGTTCTGTCTCTTAGCCCATTTCCTTTCCTTCCCTACAGTTCTCCGAGCACTGCCAGCACAAAACCAGGAGTACCCTAACAACTGCTGAGTAGAGCCCCAAAACCAACAACAAAGGGTAGACTAATTAATCAGTAGACCTAATTAATCAACCCTGGCATCCACTGGAGTCCCTGGCTTTTCTCTATTATCCTGACCTTATGAATAAATAATCGAAGGAATCCTAGAAGAGCAGTAAAATGAGGAGTAGTTTCATGCAAAATTGCTTAAGTGCAAATGGAAAAGTTCAAGTCAGGAGGTGGTGGTGGTTGGGGAGGCCAGGCCAGGAGGCGGTGGTGGTCAGTAGTCAAGGGAAGGCCATGCAAGGAGGTGGTCAGTGGTCAGGGGAGGCCACCTTGGGCAGCATCATTTCTTTTTCCTTCCTTTCTAGAATTTGTCTTCCTTAAAGGGGAACAGCAGGTCAAGGTTAGAATCTTACCAACCTCAGCCACCCAGAACAGTTTCTGGGGCTGGAGGTCCGGGCACAACTGCCTGGCTAGGTTAACAACAATGCAGTCTGCAGGGTCCTGTGCTTCCTGTCATCCCTTACCTGGATGGCTTGCCACACGGTCTGGCGGGGCTTGAGATTCTGGTCCTGTCAGGTCACCGGAAGCGGGGGGCGAGGTCTGCTCCACCTGTTCCTGAGGGAGAAAGAGAGGCAGGGGGCCTGTCAGAGAAGCATTTCATGTGTCTACACCCACCAATCCTGACAGCACTATCTCCCTCATTCTTTGTTTCAACTGACTTAGTAAATCTTTAAATGAGAGCTTCTTTAAAAGACTGTATAAGGAGAAAGTACATCACAAAGGACAGGACGCCTGGAAAGGGCAAATAAAGAAAAGTTCCTTCTATGTTTTGACTTATGTTGCTTTCCTGAATAGCATCTCAAAAGCAGTAATTCTGTACTGCTCCAGTGGCTAGAAAAAATTAGCATTCCATGATACATGTGCATTTTTTTTTCAGTAGCAGATAATCAAGCTTTAGGTAGATTCAGACCTGGTATAGAAAAATTCAAGGAATATCTGACAACTGGGCCCCCTCCACAAATTATAAAGAACTCAGTAGCCTTTCTTAAGACATACCAAAGACAATTTTAGGCAAAAGGCAAAACAGCAATACAAGTCCACAACTCTAGAAAACTACCATCATGGAATTATAAGAATTCAATGAAAAATATTTTAAAACTGTCACTGTCATCCTGTTAATCATCCATTTGCTCGAGCGGGTGCCAGTAGCATCTCCATTTGTCCCAGCCCTGAGATTTTAGCAACGTAAACTCTATGCTCTCTCTTCGCAAATGTGGCACACCAGCTGGATATTCTTGGGCATAATGGTGACACGCTTGGCATGGATGATGCAAAAGCTGGTGTCCTCAAAGAGCCCCACCAGGTATGCCTCGCACACCTCCCGCGGCGCTATGACAGTCAAGCTCTGGGAGCGCAGGTTGGTCTTGAAGTCCTGCATGATCTCGCACACCAGCCACTGGAACAGCAGCTTGCGGATGAGCAGCTTGGTGGGCTTCTGGTTGCGGTGAGTTTCGCGCATTGCCACAGTGTCGGGCCGGTAGCAGTTCGGCTTCTTCACACCACCCATGGCTGGTGCACTCTTGAGGGCTGCCTTGGTGGCCAGTTGCTTGCAGGGCGCCTTCCCGCCCCTTGACATGTGCACTGTCTGCTTAGTACAAGTCCTCTCATTCTTCCCAACTCAGCTGGAGACTCCTTCAGGGTTAGGGAAATGAGACCCATTTTTGCTACTGTTGGTGGCATATTTAGTACATCACGGGTAGCTTGCCAGGCTCTGCCGTGCGGGTGGGATACCCTCAGTAGCGTGCCAGGCTCTCTGTGGGTGGGGGGAGGGGAGAACTGGAGGCTTTGGGGACAATCTCTAATCATCCCTGCAGGTGTTCCCAGTCTACGGAATGTAAGCTCCTGGTGACCTGCCTGCTGTAAACAATTTGCACACTGATAACAAGCACCTAGCTGCATCTCCGGACAGCGCCTGGGGCATCTGTGACCTCAGGTTGATCTCCTTGAGGTGGATGGAGTGCACTTGGAGTTTGCTGAATAGCTGACAAAGCAAGACCCCATTGCATAGGGTCTGTGCCAGGTCGAACACCTGTGCCGAATCCCAAGCCATTTGATGGTTGGTGGAAAGCATCCTGTAGTGGATAAGCCATTGTGGGTGCTACTGTCACTGTTCCATGCTTAATGGTGTTGTGACTTGGCCCGGCCGGAGAAGGCGGTGACGCTGCGGCTGCCGCAGTTCTTCCTCGCCCTGCCGATGCCATTCTGTTTTAATCCCGCAAAGCAGTCGGTGATGTCCAACAGGAATCATGCGCAGATTTCCAGCAGGAATCATACGATTAGCATGCCTGGTGTGCTGAGTCGCACATCACCAGAGTGAGATGAGATAGTGAGCCAGGTTCGGGAGACCGTGAGGGGTTCAGCCAGTGTCTTGCCTCCAACTTTAAAATATGGGGCTTTAAGTACAATTGTGCTTTGAACCAAAAGTTACCAAATGGGGTAGAGATATGTCAATTTTCTCTTACATAGTAAGGAAATCATTGAATTTTGCTTTGCTTTGGGGCCAGACGCAACAGAGATCGGGGCTGACTCCTGGCTCTGCACTCAGGGATCACTCAAGTTAGGCACAGGGGACCACACAAGGTGCTGAGATGGAACTCAGGTCAGCAGTGTGCAAGGCAAATGCCCTATAACTCCGCCCACAGGAGTCATTGAATTTTTATAATGTACATCTATTATCTCTCACATTAGAAACATTTCAGAACTATCCCAAAGTATAGGGTTTGCAAGTAGATCTGTTATTATTAACATTGATAATTCACTGCCCCAAATAAAGTACTTAGTTTGGACAACCTCTTGCCTAATCTACAGGGGAAGTCTGGTTACTTCAAACTACATGTGGAGTACTTCACATTCCTCAGTGTTGGGGAGGATGATAATCTTCCTCGACCCTCCTAGGTCTATACAGCTGGAAAATAATAAAGCGATTAGTAAGAGAAAGCCAACATACAGGAAAATAGAACTTCTCATAGGGGTGACTCACAGAGGTTCTATAGTCTCCATAAAGGGGGCAATTAATTTAAGAGGGAAAAACAGAACAAAGAAATATGCCATTTTAGGGAGCAAGGGGATTTCGCACCAAGAGTCTGAAGCCTGGAGAGGACCATGTGAATGGGCCCGGGGGGGGGGGGGGGGCGGGGGGGGGCGGCTGCCCCCACTTCCTCACCACCACACAAAAGACCTGTTTCCTCTTTCCAAGGGGAGAGAAAATAAAGCAAAAAACAAAAACAAAATCATTCTTAGAGTTCTGTCTTTTAACTTACTTTCATTCTTGTCCTCGGCATGGGTTCAGAAACCTGCACTGCCTGGCTGACACGGGAGCCGTGAGCACCCTCCTAGCACCCAGCAGTTCCAGGACAGGCAGAGGCAGAGCTGCTGCCGACCACCCATCAACCTGAGAGAGTGCACGGACTCAGTGAGTGCCTGACTGCCTGATGCTCCCACCAAGAGCCTTCTCCGGAGAGAGCACTCATGGGGGTGCAGGAAACTGCCTGTATGAAGCTGGTGTGTGCCTGGTCACTGCTACATGGGCTCAGCAGGGGGTGCAGCCATGCTGATCATTCACAGCCACCCCTTAGGAGACAATGGGGCTCACTGGAAAGCATGGGGGGCGCGTGGGGAGGGTGCTCTGAGTGTTTTTCACATGCTTCCTTCTTTAAAAAGTGACTTTTTTTTTTCAATCACAAAACTCCTTGATAGTGAAGAAAACTGTAAAGAAATAAAAATATAGTATGGGAGAAAATAAACAGAAAATCTACAATCTTGGGCATAGAAAGGGCCAGGGAGGCCTGATTCAGCTGGAATAGGCTGCCCCAGAGCCTGCACAGCCATTATTCCAAACCACATTCTGCTGCTGCCACAAGAAGGATAAACAACAAACCCTGAGCAGACCCAGATGTCCCAGACATCCTCTACAATAAAGATTTTATGACCAAGTGCTTACATTTCTCAAACTCAGATAGCATCTGACCATAGGTAATGGTGCCCTAAATGCATAAAATTCACTTTACTACCTCTTGTCTCTACCCAAAGATGTTAGAAAATCACCAGATACCCACTTCTAAAACAAGCACTTGGCTACAGAATGATTAATATGCTCTGGCATGCTCTGCTCTCCAAGTGAGCTAAGCAGCCAGGAGAATGGAACTTTCTGACCATACTCTCTAAGCCGCCTTTCATGGCATGGATAAGCTGTAACCTACTCTCAGGAGAACAGGTGACAGCTGACCAGACTGGAAATAAAGCTGCTTTGTTATCAACTTTTTCTCATCGGGGTGGTTAGTCTCCCCATTGACAGAACCACTCTGTCTCTACTCCATACAAAGATGTCCAACTTTCAGGCTCTGGCATGGAATTTTGGGGAAAAAAAGTGGGGGAAATGAGGTTTATATAAAGTTCAAGTGCATATATGTTTGAATCAGACAATACAAGTAACCCTCATAAAACTGGAATCACATTCATATGACACATGAATGCATATATTCTTTTTAATTTTGCTTTTTTTGGAGGGGGCCCCTATGCAGCTGTGCCAGGGCTTCTTTCTGGTTTTGTGTTCAGTGATCACTCCTAACAATGCCAGGAATCAAACCCGGGTCCATCACATGCATGTAAGTGCCTTCCCTGCGATACTGTCTCTCCAGCCCTGTAATGTATCTTTAATTTTGCATAATGTTTTAATTTGAATTTTTAAAAAACTTTTTTACTGAGGTTCTGAAATATATCTTTCAGCTTCCCTTGACAACAAATTTTATCCGCAGGTTAGATGAGTGGGTATACTCATGACTAACCCATCAAGTGGGGAGACCACAAAATTTCTACAATCAATACACTACAAGTAAATGTACAGTAAAGATGGTTGAGAATATAAGTTCTGATTGGACAGAGAAGGGAGACTGGCTTAAAGAATATGCAGGTGAGAGGCAAGAACCTCATTCAGATAGTGAATAAATCTGAGGATCAAGCCAGTCCACAGATGCCCCTTCCAAGCCACCACAGAATTGGTGAAAACTGCTAAATTTCAGCAGGTCTTCTGCGTCCACGCCATCTTGTCTAGGTTCTGTCATTCCACAATCAATGTTTCTCTAACCAATTATTATTATAGCTGTCTGCATGGTTTGGGGAACAACTAGCGGTGCTTGGGGCTTACTCCGGCTCTGTGTTCAGAGGACCCCTGCAGTGTCAGGGATTTGAGTCGAGGTGCAAGTGCCTTGCCCCTGGACCATCTCTTTAGCACCCGAATATTAACCTTTTTCCTAAATTAAAAAAAAAAGCCCACAAATTTTGGAAATACAAAGTAAACTCCAAGTAAAATTTTGGAAACACAAATCAGATATAAGTATAAAAATAGTCTAAATCCTTTGACAGCAAGGCAACAAAATGTAATGCATGTGACACTGTTCTCATGCAGAGCTGAACATTTTAAAAGTCATTTGGGATACACAATTTGGGGGCTTCTGTTTCCAAGTGACATTACAAGAGATTTTAGTGCTTTAGTGATTTTCTTTTTTCAGATCTAAACTACACTAGTAGACCCTTCCAGTTATTAGCAAACCTCAGAT